TAGAAAAGAGTAAAAATAATGGAATAAAAAACGATGGATTATGAAAATGGAGTTCAAGACCGTGGGTGATTGTATTACTGAACATACTGTTTTTATGTGCAAAGTTTAGACTTAAAGTGGTAGATAATATAATAACAGGCATATCTGCCTAACAAATCACTGTAAGGTCATCTGATCTACATAAGATAAATTTTTTGAGTGTAGGTTGTTAACAATGGAGTAAATTGGTTTGCTGAACTGCAGAACGTCTTAAAACTATTTGAATTTTAAAGTACTGTAGTGTTATACTATTCGCAGTAGCTTATATCTGTGAAAATACTTATGTATATATAAATAAAACAAAACAACTTAATTACCTTAGGAGATTATTGTTGTGGTTTTGAAAAAAATATATAAACGGAATGCATCCATTAAGACATTAAATAAGAAAGATTGGTTCAGCGAAGAATTCTCTTTTCGGCGAATTCATTTTCAAAGCTGTTCAATCGTAAGCGAGTACTCGCCTCGGCTGTACATATACTAAAACTGGAACGATACAGAGAAGATTAGCATGGCCCCTGCGCAAGGATGACACGCAAAATCGTGAAGCGTTCCATATTTTTAAAATAAGTATATATATTTGCGATTGTACAGTTTTGAAAATAAATTCGCCGAACAGAGAATTCTTCGCTGAACCAATCTTTTTTATTAAAAAAATATGTAACTAACGAGGATTATTGTGATGAACATCGCAGTAAGAACTTTATATTTTATAACTTGAAACCCATTCACTGAAAGTCGATTGCCTGTCTATACTACGCATCGTTCGAATCAGCAGATGTTTTATTTCACCAGAGTAATATGTAAGTCTATGATTTTGCAATTCATATACTCCTTTCTCACAAATCGTGTGTCTTTCAAATTATAGTAATAAATCAAATAAACTCAAGCATCATGTATATAGCTTGGATTTTGTTGCATAGTTTTTGCACCCTTTAGCCGTTCTTTTTCATGAAATGAATATTATGACCTGGTACAATTTTCGGCTAAATGGAGCTTTTTGTTAACTATCTTTTAACAAATGCCTTAAAGATGACTGGTCTGTACTGAGAGTTTGTAGTGAAATTGAATGCCCGATTCACTTATATGACGAAGTTATTGCAATGGTTTATTAACGAATATTGATGAGACTTCCGAAAATGCTATGTTTGAAGAGATTACGAGTTTACCTAATCTGAGAACAGAACGAAGACTCTGTGACACAATGACATATAAGCTAGCTAATCCGACACGTTTCAGCCCAGCTAAGTTGAGAGAGAAGTCTAAGTTCGAAGAGGGAAATATATTCCACAAGCAGCCAGAAGCACGAACAACCACGACAAGTCTAGTCGAAAATACACTCACTTATATATCGATTCATTCACCCGTTTTTGATTAATAATTAGGTTGAAATCGCATATATGAAAAAATACTTAGTTATAACAAATCATATACTGAGTATAGTTCATGTTAATTTAATACAAGAACATCGTATGTGATACAGAATAAAATGTCATAGGGGGAAATGAAACAAATACTATACTGAGTAATCATCACATTGAATTAAAGCGGAAGTAATGTTTAACAAAAATCATAATGAGTGAATCAATTTACAAGTATAGGGGTTGTGGAGATTATTAAGTTTTGGACGAAACGGCCGTCCAGTGCTTCCAGGTTTCCAAAGGTGGTCTAACATCAATCGGTTCATGATCTCAATCAAAATAAATCAGTTTAATTTTGACTTTTCATCTCGTCATGTCAGGGACATTGATTTTAAAAGTCTTAAAGCGGTTTACTTTCAGCAACTTTCGTCTCAAATATAATTAGGCTTTTATTGAAACTGAATGATAAAAGCACACAGGTGACCAGCGGGTTCTTTCATTTTTTAACAATGTCGTTTTTTGAAACAAATGAAATATGCTTTAGCTATGTTGAATGTTGCCAGGTAGTAGAAAGTATGTTCTAGACATAGATTTCTTGTTATTCGATAGTTGTTAAGAAGATAAATCTGCAATCTTGAGATAGTTAATAATTTTTATAAGATTCTAACCATCATCACTCTCTGTCAACATTATCTTCTTATTTTAAATTACAACCTGTAATATGCTTTTTCTTATTACTATTACTAGTACATAATCTCCCAATCGAATTTACTTTCATGATAGTCATTTCTTTTTACTTGGGACATTTTTTGATGACCCGCTGAAAAAAATTATTTTTATGCTATAAACAATAAATTGTAATAATGATTACTTATAACTATTGAATAATGTAACTTAGTACAGCAATCAAAGTGATATCCTTACCTCCATTAGCAACTGATTGTGATCACTTCTATCATAATAGTCGATGAAATTTTTCTCCGTAATATAAGCATGATTTCATGTTTGTATTCATATTCTCATGTAATTTCACAACATCACATGTTCTTAATTTTACAAACTCATATCACGGATTTTACGTGATAAATATGCATTTTCTAAAGATCATTGATTATATGTGTGGTGAAAACCTGTAATTGTCATTACTCTTAATTATTTTTGACAATATCAGTTTTGTTGGTATCAGATTCCCCAGCAAGAAGATTGATCTTTATTTGAACACGTACCATTTATAGATTTGTTGTGCTGTTTCAGCCATTTATCTATTTACATGTTTTCTGTTAATTCATTTCAACTTAAATATCTTGTAGTTGAATAGTCTAAATTTGTACTTTCTCCTAATTAGCAACAATAATCAATCTAATTTGTCATATTTTACAACAATTCACTTTTTTTTTTCTTTATTTGCTGGAAAATTGTATATTTTTAACTTTAGAATTTCAGCTAATACTATTCTATTGTTAATGATACTAGTTGAACTACATAAGTTTAGATATCGGCTCAATTTAAATGGATTATTTGATAGATTAGCAAGCAATAAATGAATTAAATTTAATGAAAGGAATTTTGTTTAGTAATCAATCATACCGCATCAATTGAAGTTACCATATTTCCAGCTTCTGTTTTCAAATTTAAAAACTTTGTGGATCAATAATTCATCAATATATTTACCTTATATTAATTATCAAGCTTTTTATATACTCAAGTTCATCATATATTGATTCTAAAAAAATAATAGGAGGAAAATTAATACGTATATGTGTGTTACATGATACTGAAAAGAACACTACAAAGGTCTCGAATTATTTGGATAATATAAGATTTGATTGTAAACTAGTTTAGAAATAAGTAGTCTAATGAAATCTTATTGACTGATTACATATGTGTATAAATTGGTTTGATGTTTATGAGGAAAATAATAAGACTCGGTAAATCGATTACTATTAGTTACTTCAAATGGTTTTTTGAGGTTAGTTTTTTTAATACTGCTGAAATCATTCGCTTTATACAGAACAACAAAATATGAAGCACGTATGTGTGTATCAGAGAGGCGCGTCTTTTTTTTTTTTTTAAAAAAAACTAGATTTCTCAATAGTCACAAGTTTAGAGAAATATATTATTTTTGAGTTAAAATAGTTCATTTAATTGAAATATATAGTATCTGTTTTATGATTTAAATTTGATTAGAAATTTTACGGGTCTTGTGTTTATCATAGGGTTATTTAGTTTGATGTAGATTTATTTTTTCGCTAGCCAGATCAAAATAGTCCAATCATCGAATAACCATTTAACATATTTAGTGAATAGATTATCAGAAGTATACTGAGACAAATTTGGCTTACACAATATAATCACTAAAACCATATGAACGTGTCTACAAGAAATTTAATATACAACTTGAGAAAGATATCTTTTGAACAGATGAAAGATAAAGTTTGGTTCAGTTGTTTCGGGTAATAGTTTCAAAACAAATTTCTAACGGAAACCACTTACAAAAAACATGTGTGTTAAAAAGTTAAACCACATTGAATCCTAAGCCACACTGGCAAACAGCTTGACTACTCATGAATGCTTTTGTGTAAAATCGTTATTTCTAAGGAAATGAGAACTAATTTCTAAATTTCGAAAATAATGAACATTTATGAAATGTTAGAAACTACCTATGTAACTTATTGTCAAATCTCAAATTGTCTTATAAAACTAGAAAAAAAACTTTTATTTCATATAAGAAATTTCTCATGTTACAGTTAGATCATCGAAATTATTTGGATTCAGGATAATTTACAAACCTGTAAAATTCTCTTTATTAAATATTATACAGTCTCTTGGACACAATAAGAGAAGAAGGTTTATATGAACTTTGAATTAATCTGCTACAATTAGTCGAAAGATTATGCTCAATAAATTAACTACTGTTTTCAATTTTACGAACATCAGTTCATTGTTACATATTATAAATGAACATATTCAAATTTGGGGATACGAATTCCAATGAAAAATGTCAAAGCTTTTAATTGAAGGTGTTCCAGTCAATGAGTAATTTTTATTCACCAGTTAACAATACACATAATCTGCAACTATAAGGTCAGAGTTCAAGTCTACAAAACCGATTAATTAGTAATATTTGTACATGTTATATTGAAAGATCTATTGATGACAAGTAGTTAGATTAAAAGTTATTCGTAACTATGAATAATTACATACTAATGCTTTTATTTGTTTGTAATTTCATTTACTTGTCAGAAATATTGAAGTGGATTATATTACTGCAGTTTTTGATAATCTGATTTATGTTATGCACTATTCATAAAAACAATTGATTTGAATAAATTAACAATTCAATTAAGTATATTGGTGTACAAAAATGATGAAGTTTGTTAACTACTACTATTCTATGAAATTAAATGAGATGAAAAGTGATTTTCCATCACTTTCGTTCTTAAGTTGATTTGCTGTATGTTTTGACTAGAGATGAAGAATGCTGAATTAAATTTGTGACAATCTTGACAATAACTATTAATTTTATTGCCTTTTTGTTTTACAATCTCTCTATCTGTTAATTGATCGTATAATTTCCAAATATTTCTGAATCTTTTTCAGAGATGCCTCTTTTGGTGCATCTACTTATCACTTAACATTGTTGGATTGTTTATTTGCTGTCAATAAAGTGAGTGCAAATTTATATATATTTGTCTAGTCATTGGTTTCGAACGAATTTTACTGTTTAAACTGCAGTATACCCACTAGTCTAAGTAACTCGATATTTCATTGAAATCGCAAACTAATATAAGTTAGATAGTCATTATGAAATTGAGGGCACTGGACGACTGTTTATTCGCAGTATAAGCTTCTTCAGTAGTGTTCGTTCACGACCCTGCAACCAGGAGTCTAAACCAGGACATTTGATCTCACTCACAAACGCCTAACCTCTAGATCACTGAACTGGGATCCAGCGGTGTAGAAGTCAGACTTCAATCAATCGACGATACTTTGTGCAGTCTGTTTGAGTTTTAGGTTGTTACAAGAAGTTGACAGGAAATCCTCAATCTTGACTTCATGTTAGTCGATATTCTTCAGCAGGGCGTATCCGGATTCACTGGTGCACTTTGTAAGATACGATTTTAAGAACCAGTTTCACAGTCTGAAATATTATCACTGAGCTTTGTAAACAGTGACAAGTACAAACTAGCACAAAATCAATGCTTAAGATTTCTTGTCTACTACTCCCAACCACCTGACATGATATATATGTATATAACCAAAAATGTTTTTATTAATCCAAAAAGATTCAAGCGTTTGTACTACTACAAATTCCGAACGTGTTTTCTTACTTTTATATGTCATTCGATTTCCAGCTGTAATATCTCTTTATTTTTCCTTCTACGTACTTCTTAAAATGGCGTCGACATTTTTGATGAGTCGATGACCAGAGTCCTATTTTTCTTTACTCCTGTAATATGTGTTGATATTTTAGAGTGATTGGCAGACAATCTGAGCTTTATGATAGGTAGTGAGTTGCTTACTATGTATAGGAAATATATCGGATACCTCAGTTATCTTTTAAAATATATCGAGGGTTTCGGTTTTTTAGTATTTTTGTTGATAAAATATTTTGCAGCTCTTCAAACAAGCAATATAGTTATCATACCTAGCCAATACATACATACATACGAAGGTTTATGTTCAAAGCAATACGAAAATGAATCAATGTGTTATTGACTACCAGATTTTCTGGTCAAAATTCCTACACTATGAGTAGGTAGTCAGTTCACATTCGATATTTCTTACAGTCCGTTTATCACACCTTCCTTTACTAAGAAAAAACAGTTACCCAATACTTTCTCGTTTTCAATGGTTATCTAACCAAGACAACTTCTGGATGTAAATTGTAACATGTCACTTTGCTTTTTAGATGTTGATGCTTTTATAACTGTTCAGTTATCATTGAGCATTTACATGGCAGGTAAAATACTATTGTTGATAATACCATTGATTAATTGTTGAAACTGTTATTTTCTGTAATTTTGACTGATTGGTAAATAGGACACAAAATATGTCTGAAGTAAATTGGAAATGTATTAATAGTAGTAATAGTTTAAAGGTATCGTTTTCACAAATTGTTTTTTCCTGTTGCGAATGAAAGTAATTGTATTTTTGGCTGTTTTGATTAAATCAAACCGCATTTCAGTATGTATTTTAAAGTTGATTTTTTTGTTAAGGTTTGATTGCTCAATAATCGTTGAAGCATAGAAAGTGTTATTATTAAGAAGAGATCAAGTTATCTAGTTTGTTTGATTATTACGTGTTAGTTCTTTCTTTAAAAGATAACTTCAACGACTTTTTCTTACTTCACATTTCCGCGATAACATTTACTGTTACCTGGTTGAATGTTATCGCTTTCAGTTTTTTAACCTTGTAATGTACCGCTACATCACCATATGTTACTACTACTACTACTACTACTACTACTACTACTACTACTACTACTACTACTACTACTACTACTACTACTACTACTACTACTACTACTACTACTACTACTACTACTACTACTACTACTACTACTACTACTACTACTACTACTACTACTACTACTACTACTACTACTACTACTACTACTACTACTACTACTACTACTACTACTACTACTACTACTACTACTACTACTACTACTACTACTACTACTACTACTACTACTACTACTACTACTACTACTACTACTACTACTACTACTACTACTACTACTACTACTACTACTACTACTACTACTACTACTACTACTACTACTACTACTACTACTACTACTACTACTACTACTACTACTACTACTACTACTACTACTACTACTACTACTACTACTACTACTACTACTACTACTACTACTACTACTACTACTACTACTACTACTACTACTACTACTACTACTACTACTACTACTACTACTACTACTACTACTACTACTACTACTACTACTACTACTACTACTACTACTACTACTACTACTACTACTACTACTACTACTACTACTACTACTACTACTACTACTACTACTACTACTACTACTACTACTACTACTACTACTACTACTACTACTACTACTACTACTACTACTACTACTACTACTACTACTACTACTACTACTACTACTACTACTACTACTACTACTACTACTACTACTACTACTACTACTACTACTACTACTACTACTACTACTACTACTACTACTACTACTACTACTACTACTACTACTACTACTACTACTACTACTACTACTACTACTACTACTACTACTACTACTACTACTACTACTACTACTACTACTACTACTACTACTACTACTACTACTACTACTACTACTACTACTACTACTACTACTACTACTACTACTACTACTACTACTACTACTACTACTACTACTACTACTACTACTACTACTACTACTACTACTACTACTACTACTACTACTACTACTACTACTACTACTACTACTACTACTACTACTACTACTACTACTACTACTACTACTACTACTACTACTACTACTACTACTACTACTACTACTACTACTACTACTACTACTACTACTACTACTACTACTACTACTACTACTACTACTACTACTACTACTACTACTACTACTACTACTACTACTACTACTACTACTACTACTACTACTACTACTACTACTACTACTACTACTACTACTACTACTACTACTACTACTACTACTACTACTACTACTACTACTACTACTACTACTACTACTACTACTACTACTACTACTACTACTACTACTACTACTACTACTACTACTACTACTACTACTACTACTACTACTACTACTACTACTACTACTACTACTACTACTACTACTACTACTACTACTACTACTACTACTACTACTACTACTACTACTACTACTACTACTACTACTACTACTACTACTACTACTACTACTACTACTACTACTACTACTACTACTACTACTACTACTACTACTACTACTACTACTACTACTACTACTACTACTACTACTACTACTACTACTACTACTACTACTACTACTACTACTACTACTACTACTACTACTACTACTACTACTACTACTACTACTACTACTACTACTACTACTACTACTACTACTACTACTACTACTACTACTACTACTACTACTACTACTACTACTACTACTACTACTACTACTACTACTACTACTACTACTACTACTACTACTACTACTACTACTACTACTACTACTACTACTACTACTACTACTACTACTACTACTACTACTACTACTACTACTACTACTACTACTACTACTACTACTACTACTACTACTACTACTACTACTACTACTACTACTACTACTACTACTACTACTACTACTACTACTACTACTACTACTACTACTACTACTACTACTACTACTACTACTACTACTACTACTACTACTACTACTACTACTACTACTACTACTACTACTACTACTACTACTACTACTACTACTACTACTACTACTACTACTACTACTACTACTACTACTACTACTACTACTACTACTACTACTACTACTACTACTACTACTACTACTACTACTACTACTACTACTACTACTACTACTACTACTACTACTACTACTACTACTACTACTACTACTACTACTACTACTACTACTACTACTACTACTACTACTACTACTACTACTACTACTACTACTACTACTACTACTACTACTACTACTACTACTACTACTACTACTACTACTACTACTACTACTACTACTACTACTACTACTACTACTACTACTACTACTACTACTACTACTACTACTACTACTACTACTACTACTACTACTACTACTACTACTACTACTACTACTACTACTACTACTACTACTACTACTACTACTACTACTACTACTACTACTACTACTACTACTACTACTACTACTACTACTACTACTACTACTACTACTACTACTACTACTACTACTACTACTACTACTAACTACTACTACTACTACTACTACTACTACTACTACTACTACTACTACTACTACTACTACTACTACTACTACTACTACTACTACTACTACTACTACTACTACTACTACTACTACTACTACTACTACTACTACTACTACTACTACTACTACTACTACTACTACTACTACTACTACTACTACTACTACTACTACTACTACTACTACTACTACTACTACTACTACTACTACTACTACTACTACTACTACTACTACTACTACTACTACTACTACTACTACTACTACTACTACTACTACTACTACTACTACTACTACTACTACTACTACTACTACTACTACTACTACTACTACTACTACTACTACTACTACTACTACTACTACTACTACTACTACTACTACTACTACTACTACTACTACTACTACTACTACTACTACTACTACTACTACTACTACTACTACTACTACTACTACTACTACTACTACTACTACTACTACTACTACTACTACTACTACTACTACTACTACTACTACTACTACTACTACTACTACTACTACTACTACTACTACTACTACTACTACTACTACTACTACTACTACTACTACTACTACTACTACTACTACTACTACTACTACTACTACTACTACTACTACTACTACTACTA